ACCTAAATTTATGATGCAATCAATAGAATTTAGACAATGAAGGTTGCAATACTTTTGACTCTTGTATACCGTATTTTCTCTCCTCATGGGTCTTCATTTTCACTCCATTTTCACTCCTTTTTAAGCCTTAACCACCATGAATTTCATTTCTTTAAAGCTGTAGCTTAACATGTTTTTTTTTTTTTGCAAGTTGATAAACATATAAATGAAACAGTTTGCTCTGTTGGCATTTCCCTTCTATATATGGGTCTTGATTTTCACTCTTTAATCTGCAAAAGTTCTTCAAGTTTAGCCAATTATCATTGCTTTTACATAACTTTTAAGTCTTAATGTTTTTGCCTTTCTTTGTGACAAAAAGATTTTGGAAATGGAGAACATTACAAGGAAATTGGAGAAAAAATGCTTAATAAAGAATTTTTCTAGGAGCTTGCTACCAACTTCAGGTGAAGAAAAACAATTAACATTCCAAAATATGCTAATTAAATGCTTTTGTCTAAAGATTCTTCATCTATTTTCTATTAACTTATAATTTTCAATATATTTACTTTAGATTGTTTTGTCCCTCCAACTGCTCTTCGAACTGCATGGGAAAATCTACTATAACATGGCAACAAGTTTGTTTTATTCATCTATTGACATATACCTATAAATTTCTAATAAGTTGATATAGATATTCTTACCTCTATGTCTTTTTATTTTATTTAAGTCCAAATTTGGTTCCAAGAAAAACAAATGGAGACACAAAGTAAACAAGGGCCATCACCAATGGCCTTGGAGCTATTTGTTGATCTTTCAAGTGCAAATTCAAGCAAACCACCTGAGAGCTTGCAGAGGCACAAAGGTTTGCTTCTTGACATAATAGTTTACATTTTAAAGCTATTTATTGGTAATATCTTATAGTTGTTAGGGAATTGTTATTTGATTCATACAATGTGATGAAGCTTATTTAGTATTTTCTACATTAACCTAATATGTCCCTTTCACAAAGTTTGAAGTTTTTGTATGTGCTAAAATATCGTAATCATCAGGGGAGAAGAAGAAAACAAAAATTATCCATACAACATAACATCATGAAATTTATCATGGGGTAATATTAGCTTATAGTAAACTTAAAGATTAAAACATGCACATAAAGTAATGGATTGGGTGGCTGATAGTTTAACCTTTATTATTTGACGGCAACCTAATTTGGTATATATTAGGTCAACCTGCTAATATATGAGCACACAACGATTTAGCATAATGTATTGGCTTGGGAGTGCAACTGTGCTAATATCCTTGTGTCAATTCCCATCCTTCTAAATCAATTCTGTTAACAAGAAAATTAGATTATTAATATGAACAAATCATTACATATATAATGGCCAAAGGTAGAGATGATTAAGTCTTATATGTCCTAGAAAAAGTACAACTATCAGACCTATTTGACACGAAAAAATCATTAACATGAACAAACTTATTTGACTTATTTCAATCATAATCAATAAATATTACATATATAAAAAAAAGTTAAAGAACAAATAAATATCACATATTGTCATATCAAATAATAAATTGAGAAATATCAA